TCTGGTGTTCCTATTTGGTTCTATAATCTCAAGGCCCCCCGTAGTCTATTGCTGAAGTCTTGGGTTCCTAAATCTGCCCACAGACAAGCGTGCCACCGTGTAGAAGTTTGGAATTTGAGCGCCTGAAGTTACGGGGTCGGCGGATTGACAGCAGTTCTTGTCTGTCCTGAGCAAGTATTTCGGCGCCTTGTCTATCGTTGAGTGTTCAGTTTCTTTGGGCTTGTGTTCTGTTCCGGTATCGTATCAAGAGCGGGTATTCATTGTGAGTGTTCTGGGCATACCCTTTTCTTCTGCCAGTCTACACATTGTCCTCAAAGCCTCAGCCCGTGAGTGCAGACTGTGGCATATAAGCTGATGCAGCTGTTCAGCAGCGGAGCGTTGCCGCTGCATTCGCATATCGCAGCATCCATCACGACACAATGAAACCTGCAAACTTCGCTATCCACTAGCACCTGTGTATCTTCAAACTCTCGTTGTCTACCCCGCCTTCTCTAGCACTCTAGCATGTATTTAGCAGTCTTTAGCAGTCTTCACTGCTAGTTGTCTTCACTGCCTATTCATTGTTGTATGATAGTTGCGTACAGCACTTAAGGTGCTCCACATCGACTTACCTGTCATGTATCTGGTATGTTTCAGTAGTCAGCAATCCTCTGTTGAGACAGCCCTTTTGGCACTCTGCCCGCTGTCTTGCTGTGCTTGGCTGCTCCGCCCAGAAGTCAGGAACGCTTTCTCAACATCTGTGTCATTGGCTTCTTAGGTTGCTGTGGTTGTACAAGAATTGTTTGACTGCCAACTGGGAAATGATCTGTGCTTGTTTGCGAAGCCTTGGACAAATAGGGCAACTGCAGAACAGGATTGAAGCAGGTGATATGTGAGCTGTTGAGGACTCATTTCGCTGTTTTGCAGGTGCTTCTGCCACCCCGCCAGTGGGTTTGCCGGGACTGCCTCCTGGGGGGGTCGGCAGACTCGGCAGATTTGCTGTCACGCCTGGGTGATCTCCTTTTGTGAATCTATACCGGCAGTGGGCTGGGTTGCTTCGAATCTTCCAGACCCTACTTGGAGGATCACGGGACTTAGGAGGATCATGGGACTTAGTAAGGTGGGTTAGATGGGTAAGTATACGTATTGGTTGCCTTACGTATAACCCTAGTTACTACGTCCCATGCTCCTCCAAGCAAGCCCTTAAGGCACCTCCCGCCGCTGTGCTGGCAGCGATGGCTGCCGGTCGACCGCCGTTGGGGGAGCGGCGCCTAGGGGACGGGGAGCCGGAGTTTGGGCCTGTCTTCAGAGGGTGCTGTAAGGGGTTGCTTGAAAGGATACTTAAGGGGTTGCCATAGGAGTTACTACGTGGGCTAGGGTTTAGGGCTTGGGGTTTAGGGTTTAGGGAGGAAGCATTCCAGCCTGGCGGGTTTATGGTTTAGGGTTTCAACTGTGCGGGCTGCTAGCTGGCGTGCTGTAGGTGGTGGAAGGGGTATCAACACGGGTGTCTGAATGCAGGTTTTAAGGCCGAGATATAAGGACTACTATTCCCTACCTACACTCCAAAGCCCAACCCGAAACCCTATCCCTAATTCCCTATCCCCTAAATCTCAGACTGATCTTTATCCTTAAATCTCCTTCGCTGCACCCAGCAAGGCCGGAGGGCTGCCCGTGCCGCTGCCACCAGGGCTCGCGGCTGCGGCGCGCGCATTAGGGAAGGGAAGGGTGCGGCAGCTCCGAGTGCTGGTCTGTGTGATGCTACTATTGGGCAAGACAGGTATCTCAAGGGCGCTGCAATGTGGTTCTGAGCATGGACGTTCAACTTCACTTGTATAGGCCGCAGCAGCTGTGCCCGGCATGCACGGGGCCCTGTCCGTGAGAACAGAGAGTCAGGGCGCAGTTTCTCCAGACTTTGGTTAGAGAGTAGAAGCCAGGAACTCATAAGAAAAGTAATGATATTGCTAGTGATACTGATAATGACAACAATAATGAACAACATCCAGTAATAGTTGTCTTTCAGTAGAGGCGAGCACTCAGGTCGGAGAACCAGCAGATGCAGGCAAACCTCAACGACTACTACGCAAGGCTTGAGAGTGCTGCGATCCGGTGTGTGTGAATGCTTCAGTCGCCAGTATAGACCTTTTCTTGAGGGTGTAGGGTTTAGGGTTTGTAGGGTTCATGTTAGTTCATGTTGCTAGGCCTTTTCAGATCGCTTTTGTTCACATTACATCTTCTCCCTGCGAGGTGGTGGACATCTTACGCACTGGGGGAGGAGGACCAGGTCGCCTCCACAGCTTTGAAGCCCTAAACCCTAAACCTCAAACCCTGAGCGCCAAACCCTAAACTCAAGGGACTAAAGAAGAGACCCTTCAAGGGACCCTTGGGGTTATGTAGGGGCTTGATGAGACTATATAAGGGTTATACAGGGTATTAGGATTAGGGGTCCCTTCTAGGGGTCCCTCCTTTGTCCCTTAATCCCTTAAGGTCCCCTATAGTAGTCCCAATAACCGATTCTCCCCTTCCCTACTAAGAACCAGTCAGCCAACGCCGATCTTCCGACCTTTCCCCAGGAAGAGAAGCCCAAGGAGCAGCCAATGGCCTTCGACAAGGAGGCAGCAACGAATGCTACCATTGCTTGGCGTATTGCTTGGGTTGCGTTTGTTAAATGTTGCTAAAAAAATATTGTTACATGTTGGCAAATAAATAAACAGATAAGTAAATAAACAAATAAATAAATACATAATATATATATATATATACATACATACATATGTATGTTTACACATAACCATATAACCCCTATTAGAGCCCCATAAACCCTTTTAAATGTTTGTAAAATGTACCTCCTATTAGAGTCTTTGATCCGCAGCCCAGCTACGACTTACACCAAGCCGTGGACATCGGTGCTTGTGGAAACCGAAACCCTAAACCTCTTAACGGCCTAATAAACCCTAGAACCCGTAAGCCTTAAAGGCCCTGTAACCCTAAACTCTAAACTTTTCACTTGTTTATCCTTCCGATCCGGATCATCAGCCTTAGAGTTGTAGGCGAAGAGATGCACAAGATGCCCCCAGAGAACCCAATACCCCTTAATTAAGGAACATACCTTAAATCATAATATTAAGGCCCCTATAATTTAAGGTATATTCCTTAATTAAGGTATATTGGGTTCGCTGGGAAGACGCCCATGCAACCAGAACCCTGGCATTTATGTCGCAAAGCAAGATGTCGTGCCTCACACAAACTTGGCCCTGCAAGACCAGCCTCAGCCCCCAAGCCAACTTCTCCGCAAGCCCTCGGGACATCGCAAGCGACACTGATGCCATGGCCCTGGCCTGCGCGGCCCCGGCCTGTGATGGCTGGTGTGAGAAGCACGAAAGTGCGCGCCTGGCCGCAAAGGCACGGCGCGGAAGAGAGGAAGGCGTAGGAGTCGGAAGGCAGAGGAAGAGGGGGGCAAGAGGCTCGAGAGAGGGGCGGAGAGCTCTAGAGAAATAACGAGGCAGAAAGAGGTAGAGGCGGAGAGGGAGTCCGCCCTAAACCCTAAACCGGAGGACGAGGGAGAGCTGGGGAGTGATGAAGCCAGGAGGGTCTCTTGTCCCAGGAGTCGCGCCTCTTTGAAGCGGTGCAGCTCATCAACGCCGCGCTGGAGATGACTTAAGCTACCGTTATTGTAGTGTGTATGTATGTATGTATGTATGTATGTATGTATGCATGTATGCATGTATGCATGTATGCATGTATGCATGTATGCATGTATGCATGTATGCATGTATGCATGTATTCATGTATGCATGTATGCATGTATGCATGTATGCATGCATGCATGTATGCATGTATGTATGTATGTATGTATGTATGTATGTATGTATGCATGTGTAGTTGTATGTATATGTATGTATATGTATGTAATAGTATATAAAAATATAAAACGAAATATCATATCATATATTATAGCATATGACATTACTAAGGGTTTGTCAGGGTCTTCTTGCCAGGGGTTTTCAGGAGCGTGGATGCCGGGCTTCAGCATGCGACGTGGTTGCGGTTGCAAGAGCCCAACTTGGCAGCGAGGCACCTGGGACTACAGTAAGGAAGTGCACCAGCCGACGAACTCAGCACTCGGATTGCTTCGCAACCCTCAACCCCTGAACCCAACAACAAAGCCCTGAACCCCTAAATCTTAAACCCTAAGCCTTCAACCCAAAACCATAAAGCCCTCTTCTGCTTCCAGGAGTCCTTCGAACATAGCCTGGAACTGACGGCCACGGTAGAGGCTGGCCCGAAATTTCCCTGATGGTCGGATCATGACTAGTTAGTATTATTGCTAGCATTAGTATTATTGCCATTATTTCTATTATTTCAATTAATTGTGTTCTTCGTATTCCTATGATGATCATCATTGCTGTTGTTATTTCTCTTACTCCCTTGATTACAAAAGGATCTGGTGCTTCGGCGCTCGATTGCATCTTTGCATGTTTCCCGGCCTGGCAGGGTCTGCTTCTGACGGACCCTGGCCGCTTTGCTGCCGACACCTGGCCGAGTCTATTGGACTCCATGCTCCCTCAAACCCTAAACCCGGGGAAGGCCTTTAAGCTCTAGATCCCCAAGCCATAAAGAGCCCTAAACCCTAAACCTGAAAACCTTGAAAACCCAGCAGCCTAAACAACAGACCCGGCTCTTTTCTCGCCTCCCCAGAGACTCCAATACCCCTTAATGAAGGAATATACCTTAAATCATATAAGGAATCCTACTATACTTTAAGGTATATTCCTTCATTAAGGGGGTTTTGGAGTCTCTGGGTCTCCCCAAACCCTAAACCCTAAACCCCAAACCCTAAACCTAAACCCCAAACCCTAAACCCTAAACCCCAAACCCTAAACCCTAAACCCGCTCGAAGCCTCAGGAAGCCGCAGGGTCCATGCAACCGGGAAGCAAAGGCCACGGGCCTCGGTCGACGTCTGAGACGGGGGAGAAGCTAAGCGCCAAAAGACCGTAGGGAGAGCAATAGTCCTACTAAGTTCGTATATTAAGACAGTAGTAGCAAGGCATGGAATCGTAGGACTAAACCCCAAAACCCTAAGCCCTAAACCTTGAATCATCCCTAAACCCAAAGCCCTAAACCCTAATCCCTAAAGCCTTAAACCCATAGGACTTTTTTTGAATCGTAACCATCGCATTTTTTTTTTCGCCCCTGAGTCGACCTGGCCGGCCTCTGGGCTACCCGCGCAGACATCCTCATGGGCCTGGGCGGCCTGAGACTGGGCTCTTGTTTTTGTAATTTAAGTTACCATAATCCCTAAACCCTAAACCCTAAACCCTAATAGGGATCTATAGTAAATAACATGGTTTCCTTATTATGGTAATTTAGATTAAATCCTTTAACAAGAACCCAGGAGAAGAGCAGCAGGGGAGCTGCGGGCGGCGGCGCTGCTTGCGCCGGAGGCCGGGAGAGCTAGCAGGGGCTCGGTTTTAGGGAGGTAAGGGTTCAGGGATTCAAGACTTTAGGGATTTAAGGGTTTGGGGTTTAGGGTTTGGGGTTTAGAGTTTGGGGTTTAGGGTTTGGGGTTCCGGTGAGGTTTCTTTTTGGATTGCGAAAACAGGGTTACTCACAGGAACTTATACCTGTCGCCACTGCATGTGGGTAGTTTTCTACATGAGTGCCCCATTGAGGGTCCTTTTTATGAGGTTGCCGTATTATTTTTGCGACATAAAACGGGACCCTAATTTAGAGAACTACCTAGGTCCATACTGTTCTTGTGTGTATGCTGCGTTTGTTGAGACATGCAGGACGTCCGCGTGAAGGACCTCTTGGCTGAATGCGAGAAGCTGCAGCAGTACCAGGACACCCTTAGCTGAATGGTATAATAACCCGACTTGGAACCCCAATAGGAACCTCGACAGAAACCCGTTTCGGAACCTGCATAAGGACCCTTTTAGAGGAACCCTTGGAAGAGTCCCTACAAGAACCCTTCGCACCGACCGTCTGCAAGGAGGAGGGCTTTGCGGAGGATGCAGCAGCTGCAGCCCAGAGCAAGGTGCACTCGAGATCGGAGTGCGAAGATGCGCGACGCAGTAGGCTGCTTACTGCGCCATAGGCTTTGATTGTCCCTTTCGGCTGATTAAATGAGAAGATGCTTACCCCATGTCCCCGTCTCCTATCTCTGATGTGCAACTCAAGCTGTGTTGGCATGCTTCAGAAGAAGAGGTGCCGGTGCACATCCTAACTGGTCACGCAGCTGCATCAAGTGCCGAGCTGTGCACTGTGCTGTTCTTGCACTATTGATGAATTTCCTTAGGGTTTTCGAGGTTGACTGAGGGTATTTCTAGGACATTTTCAGGTGGGTAGTTTTAGTTAGCGCTATAGGAGCCTCATAGAAGGTCTATATACCTTATAGAAGTCTTCCAGAAGCTCTATATACCCTAGACTCCCCACCTGTAGTTTCCTTTAACTAGACCCTAAACCCTAAACCCTAAATACCCTAAATAAATACCCTAAATACCCTATACCCTAAACTCCCCCACCGGTAGTTTCGTTTAAGCATTGCGGGACCCAGCCTGGTCCCTTTCTGTAGTTTGCGCGATCGATGGCGATCAGAGCTTCCCTCCCCCAGCCCCCCAAAACGCTCAAGAGAAGGCGCCGGTGGCTCGCTCTGTTTGTTTCGTAGCACTTCCGAAACCCCATGACTTCCCCGCTCTTCCCGTCTCGTAGATTTTTGGAAGCTTGCTGTTGGAGTTTGATGCTTTCTTTCGCAATCCAAGGCTTTCTAGGGTCTGGCAAGACTACCTTGCTGAACCATATCTTGAGAGCTGCTCAGCTGCGTTAGAATTCTGGCTAGGCTATCAGACTTCAGGTTCTTTGTTTGTTTTTGGACTTCCTCGTGACACAAGTCCTGGGTCCTTGTTGGATGCAATTTTACAATTTTGGTAATAATAAAACCCTAATAAGGATTAAAAATGATCATGTTTAATATATCCCCAACAGGGAACCAGAGTCTCTCCATCTGAGGAGTCGCACACCAAGCGGTATGCGGTCATCGAGAGCCTCGGACTTGATCTCTAGAGGTGCGTTGTGCGTTGTGGTGAGCCGCTTCTTTTAGGTTCAATCCTTGCGCCGCCTCGGCCAAGAACCGCCTTGAGTAATTACGCTAGTCTGTTATAGCAGTATTATAGCATGCTATAGTTTGATTATAGTATCTGGTAGTATGATGATAGTACATGAACCCCAGGAACGAGTTTGGCGAGATCGGCATCGACGACAAGCTCATCGCCCGCAGGGAGAACCTCGGTGCAGAGCAGATCATCGAAATGAACAACGGCTGCATCTGCTGCACCGTTTCGGCCTCAGGGAGCTTCGGGGGTTTAGGGTGTCGGGTTTAGGGGTTTAGGGTTTAGGGGTTTCGGATTTAAGGTTTAGGGTTTAGGGTTTAGGGTTTAGGGTTTAGGGCTTAGGGCTCATATATTGCTTGTGGTGTGACGCGAGATCCCTGTGCGCACGAACGTGCGTGGTGATCTCATCCAGGGGCTCAGGACGGACGCCCTGCCTGACAGCGACATTGCGCTGACGCCATGATCAGAATATATGTAGTATACACTAAAGAAGACTGTATTATACTTTGTCATATTGTAATAAAACACAGAAAGCACAGAATAGACTAGAATAGAGTATAAGATTAAATAACATACATCGATACACCATACTGCACCGCGATAGCAATGTACGACGACAAGCTGTCAACAACTATAACATGATGGAATATACGCTATAGTCTACCATACTATGCGACAATATGTTGCAACCGCTCTTCAGGAGCATCTTGAAGAAGACCTCCCTCGAAGGCACGAAGCTGGACGGCGTGATCATCGCAGCTCGCCGTAAGCCCCAAACCAAGCCCCAAAACCCAAAAACCTGACACTCAGCACGCAAAACCCTAAGCCCCAAAATAAAAAAGCACTCAACAGTCCCAAAACTGTAGGCCCTAAGCCCTAAACCTCGAAACCCTAAGCCCTAAACCTCGAAA